GAGAGGAGTCCTGCATTTCCTTGGAGGGTGTTGGGGTGCAGAGGCTAAGGCAGGGAGCAGGGTGTGTTTTGATCTTTCGCCCAGGCTGGAGTGCAGTGGCACAATCTCGGCTCACTGCAACCTCTGCTTTGTGTTTTCAAGCGATTCTCCTGCCTCAGCCTCCTGACTAGCTGGAATTACAGGCATCTGCCACCACACCCGGCTAATTTTTGTATTTTTAGTAGAAACGGGGTTTCACCATGTTGGCCAGGCTGGTCTCGAACTCCTGACCTTGTGATCCACCCACCTCGGCCTCCCAAAGTGCTGGGATTACCGACACACAGTGAGCCACTGTGCCTGGCCAGTGTCCTCAGTTTGAATGGGCAGAGCAGTTCCCACAGCCAGGAAGTAGAAATGCCTGCAGGTGGCCCAGCATGGTGGCTCATGCCTATGATCCCAGCATTATGGAAGGTCGAGGGAGGTGAATCACTTGGGGTCAGGAGTTCTAGACCAACCTGGTCAATATGGTAAAACTCTGTCTCTACTAAAAACGTGAAAATTAGCCTGGTGTGGTGGCAGGTGCCTATGATTCCAGCTGCTTGGGAGGCTGAGGCAGGAGAATTGCTTGAGCCCGGGAAGCAGAGGTTGCAGTGAGCCGAGATCGCACCACTACACTCCAGCCTGGGTGACAGACTGAACACGGAGAGCCGCTGAGTGTGGGCCTGGGGGAGGGGCTGCTGGGGGACACCCCTCCCTGGGGCGGTGGCCACAGAGGTGGCCCCAGCCTCACGGTTTCCTCTCAACAACATGACATAGAAGTGCTTACAGCAGGCCCTCATCCTGAAGCTGGGCAGAGCGAGACTCCATCTCAGAAAAAACCAGAAATGCCTGGAAGTGCTGGGCTTGGCACGAGTGCAGCTTGGGAAGCAGGGAGCATAAAGTGTGTCTTTTGGGGTCCTGGCCTGGAGGGCTGTGTTGGGCTGTGGAGCACACGCAGAAGGCAGCCAGAGAGGAGAAAGTGGATGCCCTCCAGTGTCCTCTCTTCCCTTCCATGGCCCCCCGGTTGTCATCAATGATCTTGGCTCTAGACCAGTGGCTCTCAACTGGGAAGGACAAATTTACCCCTGTGGATATTTGGGAAGTTCTGGAGGCATTTTCATTAGCATGGTGGGGGGGAACAGGGATCAGGGAGGCTGAGAGACACCTGCAGGGTGCAGGGCGGCCCCTAGGGCAGAAGAATCCAGCCCTGGAGTCAGCGCTGCCAGGTTCAGAACCAGGAGCTGCTGAAAAGTCAGGAAGCTCCGCCTGGGCTGTGGCTCCTCCGCCCTCCCAGGGCCAAGTTCTGCTCATCCCCTCCTCTGCACTGCCCACGGGAATTCCTTCCCCCGAGGCCTGCATCCTTTCAGAAGGGTGGAACATCCACACAGGGTGTGCATGATGGACACTGCGGCCTTGCTGGAAGGTGCAGGGCAGACACGCCATACCCCGGTCCTTCTAAGGCAGCCTCCGTGGTCCTGTGGCTTATGTGGGCAGGGGCGGCCATGAGCTGCCTGGGAAGCTCAGGTGGCAGAGGCCCCCAAGGATGATGCAGCATGACTGCGGCGAGCCGGGGCTTCCAGAGCCTGACCCTCTCCTCTTACCACGGGCCCCACGCTGCACATTGAAAACAAGCCTGTAAATAGATTTGAACTGTGAGCTGGTAACAGAGCTATTATTGGGATTCTAAAAACAGGTGTGGGGGGAATTGTAGGGTTTTATGGAAAGAAAATGTGCAGAGACCCCTGCAGTTGTTGAAATTGATGTCTTTTCTCATCAACTCTGCGCTCGTCCTAAGCTGAGCACTGTTTTCATTGCAGACCCTCCCAGGAAGGAAGTGCAGGCTCCGCAGTCACTGGGAAGGTGGCCCAAAGCTGGCTGGGAAGATGGTGGGACGCTCTGCCCAGCCCAGCCCAGCCCAGCTCAGTTGGCCACCCAAACTGGGAGGGGCGGAATGAGCCAGAGGTAGACACAGAATGAGAAGCAGGTGGGAGGCCGTTGTGATGCTTGGCGCGTGTGGAAGTCACTCCACCTGTCAGGGAAGAAGCAATGACACTCCAGACCATCTACACGATCATCTTTCCTCTTCCCTCCCGGAGACCCATAGGAAACACCAAAGCACCTTTTTACTTTTTCATTCCAAAACTCATCAAACATTTACAGGGCTGACCGCCTCAGAATGGAAATAGGGGACCATGTCTTCAAAATTGATTTGGCTTTTGGAAGTAGATGGGCGTCTATAGTGAGGCACGGCTGCATGCAGGGTAGGGGAATCTCGTTATCTATTGTAGTGGATGGAGAGGAGCTGAGCATGGGCCTGTTGGAGGTACTGCTGGGGGCCACGCTTCCCTGGGGCAGTGGCCACAGAAGTGGGTGTTTTCAAGCGATTCTCCTGCCTCAGCCTCCTGACTAGCTGGAATTACAGGCATCTGCCACCACACCCGGCTAATTTTTGTATTTTTAGTAGAAACGGGGTTTCACCATGTTGGCCAGGCTGGTCTCGAACTCCTGACCTTGTGATCCACCCACCTCGGCTTCCCAAAGTTCTGGGATTACCGACGTGAGCCACTGTGCCTGGCCAGTGTCCTCAGTTTGAATGGGCAGAGCAGTTCCCACAGCCAGGAAGTAGAAATGCCTGCAGGTGGCCCAGCATGGTGGCTCATGCCTATGATCCCAGCATTATGGAAGGTCGAGGGAGGTGAATCACTTGGGGTCAGGAGTTCTAGACCAACCTGGTCAATATGGTAAAACTCTGTCTCTACTAAAAACGTGAAAATTAGCCTGGTGTGGTGGCAGGTGCCTATGATTCCAGCTGCTTGGGAGGCTGAGGCAGGAGAATTGCTTGAGCCCGGGAAGCAGAGGTTGCAGTGAGCCGAGATCGCACCACTACACTCCAGCCTGGGTGACAGACTGAACACGGAGAGCCGCTGAGTGTGGGCCTGGGGGAGGGGCTGCTGGGGGACACCCCTCCCTGGGGCGGTGGCCACAGAGGTGGCCCCAGCCTCACGGTTTCCTCTCAACAACATGACATAGAAGTGCTTACAGCAGGCCCTCATCCTGAAGCTGGGCAGAGCGAGACTCCATCTCAGAAAAAACCAGAAATGCCTGGAAGTGCTGGGCTTGGCACGAGTGCAGCTTGGGAAGCAGGGAGCATAAAGTGTGTCTTTTGGGGTCCTGGCCTGGAGGGCTGTGTTGGGCTGTGGAGCACACGCAGAAGGCAGCCAGAGAGGAGAAAGTGGATGCCCTCCAGTGTCCTCTCTTCCCTTCCATGGCCCCCCGGTTGTCATCAATGATCTTGGCTCTAGACCAGTGGCTCTCAACTGGGAAGGACAAATTTACCCCTGTGGATATTTGGGAAGTTCTGGAGGCATTTTCATTAGCATGGTGGGGGGGAACAGGGATCAGGGAGGCTGAGAGACACCTGCAGGGTGCAGGGCGGCCCCTAGGGCAGAAGAATCCAGCCCTGGAGTCAGCGCTGCCAGGTTCAGAACCAGGAGCTGCTGAAAAGTCAGGAAGCTCCGCCTGGGCTGTGGCTCCTCCGCCCTCCCAGGGCCAAGTTCTGCTCATCCCCTCCTCTGCACTGCCCACGGGAATTCCTTCCCCCGAGGCCTGCATCCTTTCAGAAGGGTGGAACATCCACACAGGGTGTGCATGATGGACACTGCGGCCTTGCTGGAAGGTGCAGGGCAGACACGCCATACCCCGGTCCTTCTAAGGCAGCCTCCGTGGTCCTGTGGCTTATGTGGGCAGGGGCGGCCATGAGCTGCCTGGGAAGCTCAGGTGGCAGAGGCCCCCAAGGATGATGCAGCATGACTGTGGCGAGCCGGGGCTTCCAGAGCCTGACCCTCTCCTCTTACCACGGGCCCCACGCTGCACATTGAAAACAAGCCTGTAAATAGATTTGAACTGTGAGCTGGTAACAGAGCTATTATTGGGATTCTAAAAACAGGTGTGGGGGGAATTGTAGGGTTTTATGGAAAGAAAATGTGCAGAGACCCCTGCAGTTGTTGAAATTGATGTCTTTTCTCATCAACTCTGCGCTCGTCCTAAGCTGAGCACTGTTTTCATTGCAGACCCTCCCAGGAAGGAAGTGCAGGCTCCGCAGTCACTGGGAAGGTGGCCCAAGGCTGGCTGGGAAGATGGTGGGACGCTCTGCCCAGCCCAGCCCAGCCCAGCTCAGTTGGCCACCCAAACTGGGAGGGGCAGAATGAGCCAGAGGTAGACACAGAATGAGAAGCAGGTGGGAGGCCGTTGTGGTGCTCGGCGCGTGTGGAAGTCACTCCGCCTGTCAGGGAAGAAGGCGATGACACTCCAGACCATCTACACGATCATCTTTCCTCTTCCCTCCGGGAGACCCATAGGAAACACTAAAGCACCTTTTTACTTTTTCATTCCAAAACTCATCAAACATTTACAGGGCTGACCGCCTCAGAATGGAAATAGGGGACCATGTCTTCAAAATCGATTTGGCTTTTGGAAGTAGATGGGCATCTATAGTGAGGCACGGCTGCATGCAGGGTAGGGGAATCTCATTATCTATTGTAGTGGATGGAGAGGAGCTGAGCGTGGGCCTGTTGGAGGTACTGCTGGGGCCCACGCTTCCCTGGGGCAGTGGCCACAGAAGTGGCCCCGGTCTCATGGTTCCCTCTCAAGAACATGACACAGCATTGCTCATCCTGGGCCCTCGCCCGGAGGCTGAGCAGAGGTCCACCTGTAATTCTCCACCCTCCAGCCCCTCTGGAAGGCCCAGCACCTGCTAAACAGACAGTATCTAAAGAGAACCACTCTGCAGATCAGCACAGTCAGATTTCTGTTCCGCTGAAATGTAAAAGCATCTGTGCCGAGAGGAAACTCGTTGTAGGATTTCACATCAATCTTTAAGAGAAGCCTGTTGTCTTGATTTCTAGATAAGTCTGCTTGAAAGTGGTTGTGCCAAAGCCCTGAGCGCTGACAACTCTAACCCTGTTCATCTGATTTTCTTTCAGCTGACAACAGCGATGGGTCCAGTTCTGAAGACGGCAGGGAAGACCCAGATGTGAAAACCAAGAGGAACCGGTAGGTGGCCGTTCCCTTCCCCAGCGGGTCCTTCCCTGCTGGGTACTCAGGTGATGTAGAAAGAAAAGGCATCATTTCGACCACATTGACTGTGAGCAAAGAACTAATTCAACCGCTGGACAGATGGTAAGAGGTCTCAGGCTCTGTCTTAGCAGTGTCCTGGGCACCTGCTGAAGCAGGTATCTCAGAGCTTGGGGCACTTCAGACACTGTACACAGGGCCTGCCACCCCCCGCCTACCCAGGCGCCCACATGCTCAGCCCTGCTGTGTTTCCAGAGTCCTGTAGAAGTGGTCATGGGGGCCAAGTGCATAGGTGGTGCCATGTGCTGTGTCAGAGGTGAAGTTTAGGGGTCAGGCAGCCCCGGCTTGGTGCTGCAGCTCTATGTCTTGCCTGCTTGATGACTTTGGGCAAAGTCAGCCAACCCTGATCTCAGATTTCTCATATGTAAGATGAGGCTTTGCAGAGGCCCCAGTGGGCCTTGGGACAGCTGGATGAGATGATGCCTGCATACCTGCAGGGTGCACACGGCCAGTGGGTCTCCCTCCAAGTCGGCTGGTCACGGTTTGGTTTTGGGAGTTGCCATGCATCGAAGTAGGGAATCCCTGTTTTCCATCAAGCCAGGGGATGGCTCCTGCCCTTTAACCCCTCCTGTGTGGCTGCTGCTCTGCCCTGCCTTGCCTGTGAGTTTCACATAAGGGGATGAATGTGGAAGTGTGTTCCCTCCCAGAACAGGGAGATGGAAGGAATGCTGTGGTTGCTGGGCCCCATGTTTGGCAGAGAAGGGTGGGGAGGACTCTGAAAGGCAAATCAATGAGGCGCACTTCCAAGGCTCTTCCTGAGCTGGGCTGTTATTGGCCCCATGATGCCCAGACATTCTGTTGGACCCTGGGTCCTGCCACAGCCCACAGGTGCGTTCATCCTGCACCAGGCTCCTGTACCAGCCCTGCTCATGGGATACCCTAGGCCTGCAACAGGAACCCAAATGAAGTGGTCAGGAATCTTAGCACTATATGCGTTTTCTCTTTTAAAAAATGTACTTTTGCAGTAAAAATATTTGCCACAATGAAGGTAAAACAAAATCTTGACTCAGAGCCTGTGCCCATTCTCACCTTTTCAGTCCTTTCAACTTTTTAGCAAAGGATGAAAGGATGGTAAGGAAGAGAGGGGAAGAGGGAGCAGGAGCTGGGCTTGGGGGTGCCTAGGAGGCCCAGCAGCCGGGGAGTCAGGGCGAACTCTTCTGTCTCCTGAGTGCCCATGGAGCCATGAACAAAACACATAGAACTAGACCTGAGTGGTTCAATAGTAAGCAGACACCACAGAACTTTCAGGAACAATGCGAAGAAGAATAACAGTGTCTTCCCTAAGCCAGGGAGGTGATCAGGTAGGAGGTGGAGCTCTCCTCCCCCAGGGGTCCTGCCGCCTGGCCCCACAGCACGTGGAAGCCTGTGAACCACTATGTGTGGAGGTCTAGGGCCGCACGTGGCAGGGCCAGGGCTCACTGGCTGTGGAGGGAGGACGCCTCCTCCTCAAAATCTCCTGGGCAGCTGTCTTCTTGCTACCCCAAATCTCCTCCTTAGAAAGTCACTTTTGGGGGCCAAAGGATGTTGTGTGGGCCACAGGGGATGGACAAGGAGCACCTCTGATGGGGGCCAAGGATTCCAGGAAAGGACCCAGTGCAGCCTCTGATTTCACCATCACACGTGGACCTCAGCTAAACTGGTCTCGTTGGTCTTTGGGTATGTGTGTGCTTAATTTAAAACACAAGAGGAGCTTCCTGAGGCACAGGAAACATGGGATGTGGCCATGAGTTGATGAATTTTGAACTTGTGTGGGCGGAAAAGCATGGCGGGATCCGAAGCAGTTGGGCTGTCCTCCTCCTCACCCGGCTGCACTTCCCGACCCGTGGGTCTGGCCTCGGTTCCCAACAGCTGGCATTCAACAACATCGAAACGCTAATTTTGGTTTTAATCATCCGAATGATTTCCGTCATGGAAAACCAACTTGGAAACACGCACAGAGGTTTTGCGTGGAGCTGCCTCCGTTTCGGCAGCTGTTCATTTCCACGTTGGTTCCAGCCTTGAAGATTCCACGAGAGAGGGAGGCTCTCGGGGAGGCTGCGGCCCACTCCGAGGTATGGGAGGAAAACGCTTTGGTGTTCATTTTGCAGCCAGCCCGAGGACTGAGCACGCCCATCCCGTCCTGGGCATTCGTTCCTAGACCGGTTTACAAAGCCGCGCCCTCTGTTTGGAAGCATCACCATCGGGCAGGTTTTCCCCAAGCTCTTCCGAAGCACCAACCTGCACGCCCCCGGTTCAGAGGGAATTGCCACAGGCCGGGTGAACCACCAGCATCACCGTGGCATTTTGATCCCTCTTTGGGAAGGTTAGGGTCAATAAGTCCACGTACTCCTCAAGCTCCTAACTGCTTTTATGTATTTCTATGTCGTAGAATCTGGCCCGTATAGTTAGAGAACATGCCTCCAGGGGGCCTGCTGAAATCTGGCCATTTGGACCTGCCCTTTTTGTGAGGATAGCATAATTTTGCCTCATCAAAGAACACTAAAATTCTCCCAGAACGTGTGATACATCAGCAGTCAGATTATGATGTTTAAGAAACAAGCAAATAAGCTGAGATGATGATTGTTTTGGACACCGGTCTCTACTCCCCACATTTCCTGTGAACCCTGGCACAATCGATACACATTTTGGGCATTCATGCCCAGATGGAATTAAATCGATTGTGAAAGTGATTCAGGTCCACATGAAACTTTTCCTGAAATTCTCTCGGAGGAGAAATACGTCACAATGACAAGCATTCAAATTACTGAAATATTCTAATCTACATGGTGAGTGTCATTTCAAATAGCTTGTTATTTACTATTTAGAGGGATGTGTTTGCAATGACCATGCATCTTCCCTGGGACTGGAAAATAGACTCATGACTGCTCGGCCCCTTTCTGCTCAGGGCCTGGAGGTGCTGCCAGTTTCTGATGAACGGGCCTTTTCATAGTTCAGACCTGCTTTGATCTTTGATCTTCTGGCTTTATAACTCTCCCTTTCAAATGGGCTCTGGGGAGCATCCCCTTCACAGTCGCCTTCTATCCCTCTGACCTCCCATGTACAGGGTGGTGGTCTCTGCTGAGTGGTATCGCTGCAATTGTCTCCCAACGTCCCCCAAGAATGAGGGCCTGAGCATCAGAAACCTGGACACCACGGCTCGAATCACACCTGTGATTTCTGGAATTGCTGCGGTGTTTTGAAGTGGAAATATATTTTCTTAAGTCAACAGATTGTTTTGTGTGGCTGTGGCCGTGGGCTTGTGAAATGCACAGTGTAGCTTGCATGAGTGCTCACGGGAACGCTCCACCAATTTGCTTCCCTCCAGAGGGTGGGCGTGTTTTCAGTACTCTTTTCATATAATTCAGTTACCCCGTATTTGTGACGTAATTAGGGTTTGCCAGGGGGTTGATGCCCATCCCTGCAGGGATCCAGAGATCACTGAGTGAATGGGGGAGTCAGTTTCCCCCAAAACTCAGTACTTTCTTCACAAGGCTGGTTATCAAATATTTGGCTCACTCTATCACCACTTGGAGGTATAAATTTATCAAAATCTCAGGTAGTTTCCTCTCCTGTGAGAGAGAACGTATTTGTTCTGTATTATGAGAAATGACAGGTTAACTCTTCAGTGTGGTCATCACTTCTGTGGTAAGAAATGCTCAACTTGAACGAGGAGGAAGAGAGGGTCAGAGCAGATCACAGGATGACAGGCAGAGGGACACGGGGGCGTGGGCCCTGAGGGGACAGCCAGGGTGGGAGAAGCCAAAGAGAAAATGGTCATGTGCGGGGGACATGGGTGACGTGGTTTGCCGCTGGCTGTCCACCCAACCCTCATCTGGAATTGTAATCCCCATGTGATATGGTTTGGCTGTGTCCCCACCCAAATCTCACCTTGAATTGTAGCTCCCGTAATTCCCACGTGTCAGGAGAGGGACCCAGTGGGAGGTCATTGAATCACCAGGGCGGGTCTTTCCCCGGCTGTTCTCGTGATAGTGACTAAGTCTCACGAGATCTGATGGTTTTATAAAGGAGAGTTCCCACACGCACACTCTCTCTTGCCTGCCACCATGTAAGATGCGTCTTTCGTCTTCCACCGTGATTGTGAGGTCTCCCCAGACACGTGGAACTGTGAGTCCATTCAACCTCTTTTTCTTTATAAATTACCCAGTCTCGGGTATGTCTTTCTCAGCAGCGTGAAAGCGGACTAATACAGCATGTGTCAGGGAAGGGGACTTGTGGGAGGCGATGGGATCATGGGGGCAGTTTCCTGCATGGTTGTCTCATGATAGTGCATGAGTTCTCACAAGATTTGGGGGTTTAAAAGTTTGTGGAAATCTCCCCCAACTGCATTCTCTCTCCTGCCACCATGGAAGACAGGCCTTGCTTCCTCTTCAACTTCCGCCAAGATTGAAAGTTTCCTGAGGTCTCCCGAACCGTGCGGAACTGTGAGTCACTTAAACCTCCTTTCTTGGTGAATTACCCAGTCTCAGGTGGTACTTTATAGCAGTGTGAGAATGGACTAATACAACAGGTTACGTCAGTTCAAAAGATCCCAGGAGACGGAGTGATTTCCATCAAAGCCAAACAGTTCTATTGTGATAGGAGAGACAGATGGCATAAGACGGCCCAGTGTGTGCTTAGCTGCCTGACACTGGGTTGAAAAGGCTCAACAAATATATGAAAAAACAAATATACTCAATTAAGGAGTAACAGTTATTTTACCTACTTTTAACTTTTTATTATGGAAAAGTTCCACATAAAAGTTGGAACAACACAGTTCGCCTCCATGCATTCATTTCCCAGCATCAACTCAAGGCCAGCGTTTTTCTGCTTTAGTCCATGCCCCTCTAGATTAGTTTGAAACAAACTCCTCCCAACATCATACAAATCTTATTTGTAAATACTCTATAATACTAAAATACAAGGATGTTAAAAATATAAGC